CCCGCGGGAGCCGGCGGGAGAGCCCGCAGGAGCCCACGGGAACCGGCGGGGGAGCCCGCGGGAACCGGCGGGAGAGCCCTCAGGAGCCGGCAGGAACCGGCGGGGGAGCCCGCGGGAACCGGCGGCAGAGCCCTCGAGAGCTGTCGTGGGAGCCATCGGGAGAGCCCTCAGGAACCGGTGGGAACCGTCGGGAGACCTCGGAGGAGCCGTCGGGAGCCCTCGGGAACCGGCGGGAGAGCCCGCGGGAGCTGTCGGAAACCGGCGGGGGAGCCCTCAGGAAACGTCGGTAGCCGGCGGGAAGTGGCGGGGGAGCCCTCGGGAACTGTCGGGGGAACGCTCGGGAGGCATCAGGGGAGCCCTCAGGAAACATCGGGAGCTCTCGGTGGAGCACTCGGGAGGCTTCGGGAATGTTCGGGAGCGCTCGGGGGAGCACTCGGGAGGCGTCGGGAACGTTCGGGATCGCTCGGGAGGCGTCGGTGGAACGCTCGGGAGCGCTCGGGTGAGCTCTCGGGAGGCATCGGGAACGTTCGGGATCGCTCGGGAGGCGTCGGTGGAACGCTCGGGAGCGCTCGGGTGAGCTCTCGGGAGGCATCGGGAACGTTCGGGAGCGCTCGGGAGGGCGAGGAGCGGCCTCGGAGCTCGGGAGCCGAAGCGCTTCGGGCCCCGCCGGGAGCGCTCGGGCCGCGCCGGAGGCGGAGCCGGGATTTAGTTTGGCCTCGGCCGGGCCGGGAGGCGGTGCCGGAACGCTACAGAAACACACAAAATAATAACGGGGAAATAATGCAAAATAATAACGGGGAAATGATGGAAATAATACAGGATAATAATGGGGAAATGATAGAAATAATACAAAATAATAACGGGGAAATAATGCAAAATAAAATGGGGGAAATGATAGAAATAATGCAAAATAATAACGGGGAAATGATGGAAATAATGCAAAGTAATAACGGGGAAATAATAGAAAATAAAATGGGGGAAATGATGGAAATAATACAAAATAATAACGGGGAAATAATGGAAATAATGCAAAGTATAACGGGGAAATGATGGAAACAATGCAAAATAATAACGGGGCAATAATAGAAAATAAAATGGGGGAAATTATGGAAATAATACAAAATAATACAAAATAATAACGGGGAAATGATAGAAAATAAAATGGTGGAAATGACGGAAATAATACAGAATAATAATGGGGAAATGATAGAAATAATACAAAATAATAACGGGGAAATAATGCAAAATAAAATGGGGGAAATGATAGAAATAATGCAAAATAATAACGGGGAAATTATTGAAATAATACAAAATAATAACGGGGAAATGATAGAAAATAAAATGGGGAAAATGATGGAAATAATACAAAATAATACAAAATAATAATGGGGAAATGATTGGAAATAATACAAAATAATAACGGGGAAATGATAGAAAATAAAATGGGGAAAATGATGGAAATAATACAAAATAATACAAAATAATGATGGGGAAATGATTGAAATAATACAAAATAATACGAAATAATAACAGGGATATAATACAAAATAAAATGGGGGAAATAATAAAATAGTACAAAATGAAATGGGGGAAATAATAAAAATAGTACAAAAATAAATGGGGGAAATAATAGGAATAATACAAAAAATGGGGAAATAATAGGAATAATACAAAATAATAACGGGGAAATAATACAAAATAATAGCGGGGAAATAATAAAATAGTACAAAATGAAATGGGGAAAATAGTGAAAATAATAGAAAATAAAATGGGGGAAATGATAGAAATAATACAAAATAAAATGGGGGAAGTAATAGAAATAATACAAAATTAAATGGGGGAAATAATAAAAATAGTACAAAAATAAATGGGGGAAATAATAGGAATAATACAAAAAAAAATGGGGAAAATAATAAGGAGGGGGGAAGAAAAATAAATATAAAATAACATGGGGGAAGGAAGGGGAAAAAGAAAAAAATAAAATTAAAAGAAAAAAAACCACAAAATAAAATGGGGAAAAAAGTGAAATGGGGAAAAGGAAGGGGAAAATAAATTTTAAAAATACAAAATAAAATAAAAAGGGGGGAAAAAAAATTTAAAAGTTGGGGGAAGGGGAAAAAAGGGAAATAAAGAGAAAAAAAATTAAAAATGAGGGGAAAGGGAAAGAAAAAGAAAAAGAAAAGAGAAAAAATAAAATTAAAAATTGGGGAAAAAAAGGTAAAAAAGAAATAAAGGCCAAAGCAGCTGAGCCGAGGGCAGAGAGGGAATTTGGGAATTTCTCTCCCGGAATTTTGGGAGATTCCACCCAGGAGGGGAAAAAAAGGAAAAATTTTGTTTAAAAAAGTGAAAAAATGTGAAAATTCTCCCAAATTTCCCAATTTTTGGGGGAATTACAGCGTGGGACTGGAGCGTTCTGGGCAGGAATTGGTTCATTTGAAATGGGGTTTGACTTTTATTGATTTTAATTTTATTTTTGATTAATTTATTTTCACTTTTTATTTTTAAATTTTTTATTTAATTTATTTTTATTTATTTATTTTTAAATTTACTTTTATTTATTTTTATTTATTTTACTTTATTTTTTCTAGATTTAATTTAATTTGTTAAAATTTTCCCAGCTATTTCTTTTTAAATTCAACTGAATTTAATTTGGATTCTATTAATCTTTAAAATTTATTTTAAAAGCTTTTCTTCCATTTTAAATATTTGGATTCATTTTTTAAACCTCTTTTAAATACTTTTGATCCATCTTTTATTTCTTTTAAATAATTCCATTTAATTCTTTATTCCTTTTAAAATAATTTTGAAATTTATCCTTTATTTTTTTAAATATCGTTATAATTTATCTTTTATTTATTTTAAATACTCTTAAACTTATTTTAAATTTATTTTTAATTTATTTTTATTTCTTTTAAATATTTTCCATTTATCCTTTTCATTGAAATTCTTGATTTCCACGTCTTGAAATTTGAATTTTTTCCCGCATTTCCTTTTTTTATTTAATATTATTTTGAATTTCTATTTTATTCTCTTTGGAATTTTAAATCCTTTTCAATTTCATTTTTTAAAAAACTCTCTTTTTTTAAACATTTCTCGTATTTATTTGGAATTTTGTTGATTTTTCCCCAATTTTTTACTGGGGGGAACCAACCCGTGACGGACGGGGAGCAGCAGCTCCGGCGACCCCTCCTCTGGGGACACCCAGGGGGACCCAAAGGTGACACCAAGGGTGACAATGAAGGTGACCCTGAGGGCAGCCCTGGAGGTGACCCAAAGGTGACCCCAAAGTGACCTCGAAGGTGACTTTGAGGTTGACCCAGAGGGTGACCCCAAAGGTGACCTGGGAGGTGACACCAAAGGTGACCTGGGAGGGGACACCAAAGGTGACCCTGAGGGTGACCCCAAAGGTGACCCCGAGGGTGACCCCAGTGGTGACCTGGGAGGTGACACCAAAGGTGACTGCAGTGGTGACCCCAAAGGTGACCTGGGAGGTGACCCCAAAGGTGACCCCAGTGGTGACCCCAGAGGTGGCCCTGAGGGTGACCCCAACCTGAAAGTGACCCTGAGGGCAACCCTGAGGGTGACCCCAGTGGTGACACCAAAGGTGACCCCAAAGTGACACCAAAAGCAACCTTGAAGGCGGGGTCACCCCAAAGGTGAACCTGAGGGTGACCCCAAAGGTGACCTTGAGGGTGACCTCAAAGGTGACACCGAAGGTGAGCTCAAAGGTGACAGCAAAGGTGACCTTCTGAAGGCAACCTCAAAAGCGGAGTCACCCTAAAGGTGACCTGAGGGTGACCCCAAAGGTGTCCCCAAGGGCGACCACAAAGGTGACCCCAAAGGTGGCCACAAAGGTGTCCCCAAGGGTGACCATGAGAGCAACCCCAAAGGTGACCCCAATGGTGACCACAAGGATGATCCCAAAGGTGACCTTGAAGGTGACCCCAAAGGTGACCGTGACGGCAACCACAAGGGTGACCATGAGAGTGACCCCAAAGGTGACCCCAAAGGTGGCCATGAAGGCAAACCCAAAGGTGACCCTGATGGCACCCCCAAAGGTGCCCCAGAGGTGTCCCCAAGGGTGACCACAAGGATGACCCCAAAGGTGGCCCCAAAGGTGACCCTGAAGGTGACCCCAAAGGTGACCGTGAGGGCAACCACAAGGGTGACCATGAGAGTGACCTCAAAGGCAAGCCCAAAGGTGACCCTGACGGTGACCCCAAAGGTGTCCCTGGTGGTGTCCCCAAAGGTGCTGATCACAAGGATGACCCCAAAGGGGACCCTGAAGGTGACCCCAAAGGTGACCGTGAGGGCAACCACAAGGGTGACCATGAGAGTGACCTCAAAGGCAAGCCCAAAGGTGACCCTGACGGTGACCCCAAAGGTGTCCCCGGTGGTGTCCCCAAAGGTGCCCCCAAGGGTGACCCCAGAGGTGACCTCAAAGGTGACCCTGGGGACAACCCCAGCAAAGGTGTCCCTGGTGGTGTCCCCAAAGGTGCCCCCAAAGGTGTCCCCAAAGGTGTCCCCAAAGGTGTCCCCAAAGGTGCCCACAAGGACGACCCCAGAGGTGACCTCAAAGGTGACTCTGGGGACAACCCCAAGGGTGACCCCAGGGCCATCCCGAAGGTGACCCCAAGGTGCCCGGAGGTGCCCCGGCGGCGTCCCCGCGTGTCCCCGCGCCCCTCCCGGTGGCCGGCCGGCGCCGGCATTTCCGAGCCGTTATTTTTCCGAATGGGATTTGTCTCTTGGTGATGGCCCCCTTGTAGGATGGCACCCATGGGATGTGGCGGGCGGGGTGGAGGGTTGGATCCCGCTTAGCTCTCCTGGGCGTCGCCGGCGCCGCCGCGGCCGTACTCACTGGAGCGCGGCGCCATGCCCAGGTACTGCTTCAGGAACTCGCTAAACCTCTTCTGGTTGTTCCACTTCCGCGCCGACTTGCGCACCCCGATGAAGCCCCCGTACCTCTTCTGCACCCCCTTGGCCGCCCGGCCCGCTCCCGGCCGCCGCGAAATGTCCTCCTCCTCCTCCTCCTCCTCCTCCGGCTCGTCGTGCTGGCGGCCCGAGGGCCAGGGCCGGCCCGAGAGGCGAGGTGACGTGGTGTCCATAGGGGTCCCCAGAGGTGACATCCCATAGGTGTCCCCGTAGGTGCCATCCCATAGGTGCCATCCCATAGGTGACATCCCATAGGTGTCCCCATAGGTGTCCGTCCCATAGGTGCCATCCCATGGGTGCCCACCCATAGGTGTCCATCCCATAGGTGACATGGTGCCCATAGGTGTGCATAACTGACATCCCATAGGTGCCCATCCCATGGGTGTCCATCCCACGGGTGCCCATCCCATAGGTGTCCCCATAGGTGTCCGTCCCATAGGTGCCATCCCATAGGTGACATCCCATAGGTGTCCCCATAGGTGTCCGTCCCATAGGTGACATCCCATGGGTGTCCCCATAGGTGTCCGTCCCATAGGTGCCATCCCATCAGTGCCCATCCCTTAGGTGCCATTTCATAGGTGCCCATCCCATAGGTGTCCCCATAGGTGTCCGTCCCATAGGCGACATCCCAAGGGTGCCATCCCATGGGTACCATCCCATAAGTGTCCCCATAGGTGCCCATCCCATAGGTGTCCCCATAGGTGTCCGTCCCATAGGCGACATCCCAAGGGTGCCATCCCATGGGTCCCATCCCATAAGTGTCCCCATAGGTGCCATCCCATAGGTGCCCATCCCATAGGTGTCCCCATAGGTGTCCGTCCCATAGGCGACATCCCAAGGGTGCCATCCCATGGGTCCCATCCCATAAGTGTCCCCATAGGTGCCATCCCATAGGTGCCCATCCCATAGGTGTCCCCATAGGTGTCCGTCCCATAGGCGACATCCCAAGGGTGCCATCCCATGGGTCCCATCCCATAAGTGTCCCCATAGGTGCCATCCCATAGGTGCCATCCCATGGGTGCAATCCCATAGGTGACATTCCATAGGTGCCATCCCATGGGTGTCCATCCCATAGGTGCCATCCCATAAGTGCCCATCCCATGGGTGCCCATCCCATGGGTGCCATCCCATAGGTGCCATCCCATAGGTGCCTATCCCATGGGCCATCCCATAGGTGCCCATCCCATAGGTGCCTATCCCATAGGTGCAATCCCATGGGTGCCCGCCCATAGGTGCCATCCCATGGGTGCCTATCCTATAGGTGACATCCCATAAGTGTCCCCATAGGTGCCATCCCATGGGTGACATCCCATACGTGACATCCCCATAAGTGCCCATCCCATGGGTGACATCCCATAGGTGTCCCCATAGGTGCCATCCCATAGGTGCCATGGGATGGGATGGAGGAAGTGGGACGGGATGGAGGAGGTGGGATGGGATGGAGGAAGTGGGACGGGATGGAGGAGGTGGGATGGGATGGAGGTGGGAAGGGACGGCGGAGGTGGGAAGGGACCTCTGGCCCGTTCCCATGGCAGGTCCTGGTGCCTGGAGTTGTTCCTCGCCAGGGGTGCAACTTTGCTGTTCCCGAGGTTTCTCCAGCTGGGAATGTTCCTCTGGATGGCAGCAGAAGCCTGTGGGGTCCCACCAGCCCTCCCAGCTCTGCAGCTTTTGCTGAGGTTCTCCTGCTGAGGCTCTCCTGCCCCGTTATCCTGAAGGACTCCTGGTGCTCTGGGTTTATCCGCTCCGGGATTGTCCTCGAGGATGTCACGGGACACCGGGATGAAGGTCAGGCCCAGCCTCAGGCTGGTCAAGCCCCACTGCTCCTCCATAAATCCACGCTGGCTGCTCCCGGTGACCTTCCCGTCCTCCACTCCTTCAGAGCAGCTCCACGGGATGGAGATGGAAAAGCTCCGTGCTCCAGCACCTCACTGGAGATTCATGGGAAGCTTCCCAGATCCTCCTCCATCCTTCCTCAAAGGCAGGAGGGGCCTCCAGCTCCTCCAGCCCCAGGAACGGCCGTTCCCACCACGGCCCTTCGTCACCGGCGTCCTTCGGCCCCCAGGGTTCATCCCACCATGGCTGGGTCCTGTCCCTTTCCAGGCTGGACAGGACATGGACCTGTCCCTGCTGTGGGGTTTTGGTGCCACCAAACCCACCATGGTTGGGTCTCATCCTTTCCAAGCCGGACAGGACATGGAAAGTCCTTTTTTGGTGTCACCAAACCCACCACGGTTGGGTCTGATCCTTTCCAGGCCAAACAGGACATGGAAAGTCCTTTTTTGGTGCCACCAAACCCACCATGGTTGGGTCTCATCTCTTTCCAGGCCGGACAGGACATGGAAAGTCCTTTTTTGGTGCCACCAAACTCACCATGGTTGGGCCTCATCCTTTCCAGGCCAGACAGAACATGGAAAGTCCTTTTTTGGTGCCACCAAACCCACCATGGTTGGGCCTCATCCCTTTCCAGGCCGGACAGGACATGGAAAGTCCTTTTTTGGTGTCACCAAACCCACCATGGTTGGGTCTCATCTCTTTCCAGGCCGGACAGGACATGGAAAGTCCTTTTTTGGTGCCACCAAACCCACCACGGTTGGGTCTCATCCCTTTCCAGGCCAAACAGGACATGGAAAGTCCTTTTTTTGTGCCACCAAACCCACCAGGGTTGGGTCTCATCCCTTTCCAGGCCATACAGGACATGGTAAGTCCTTTTTTGGTGTCACCAAACTCACCACGGTTGGGTCTCATCTCTTTCCAAGCCAAACAGGACATGGAAAGTCCTTTTTTGGGGCCACCAAACTCACCATGGTTGGGTCTCATCCCTTTCCAAGCCAAACAGGACATGGAAAGTCCTTTTTTTGTGCCACCAAACCCACCAGGGTTGGGTCTCATCCCTTTCCAGGCCGGACAGGACATGGAAAGTCCTTTTTTGGGGCCACCAAACCCACCCTTTCCAGGCCAGTCCTTTTTTGGTGCCACCAAACTCACCACGGTTGGGTCTCATCCCTTTCCAAGCCGGACAGGACATGGAAAGTCCTTTTTTGGTGCCACCAAACCCACCCTTTCCAGGCCAGTCCTTTTTTGGTGCCACCAAACCCAGTACCCAGGAAAACCATCCAGGAGGAAATCGTGGAAGAACCGAGCTCGGTGAAGCTGGAAGGAACCGTGGGTGGAGGGCCCAGGAGGGAAGCGTTGTCCTCATGTCCGTCCCGACGTCTCCACCGCGGTGGGGTCCTTCAAACGCTGATTCCCGGCTGGCTTCAGCCCAGGTGAGCCGGGTGGAGATCCCCGTCCTCTCCTCAAACCCTCAAATCCATTTTTCATCCTTTTTCCCCTCAAACCACCCCTCGCTCCATCCTGTTCCTCACGGTGTCTTCGTCCTTCTCGTGGCTCTTCCGCCCAAGAACAAATTCGGGATTTAGTCCTGGAAATGCACCAAAACCTCCTTTTTTTGCCCCCTAAACACGAGGAATTCCCATGGGATGGGACAACGGGGAGCTGCTCAGAGCGGGAGACCTGGAGGACATCCGGAGGGTCTCGTGGCCCCAAACCTCTGCAGAACCTCTCGGCTCCGTGGCACCGCCAGCCCGGCCAGCGGGGAGCGGCCACCGGTCCCGCTCAGGGCTGGAGCTCCAGCGGCTCTTCCCACCCCCCAGGGCTCGTCCCACAACCCCCAAAAGAGGGAGAATTGTCCCCAAACGAGGCGGTGAGAAGGATTTTTTAGGGTGGGGCCTTGTGGAGACACCGAGGGCGTCCCGCGCTGAGCCGAGGTCTTCTCCTGGCATCTCCAAGGCTTTGGAAGGGGCTGTGCTGCTGGAAATGATGGATCCCATGGAGGTGACATCTCGAAGGTCCTGTCACCCTCCGGCATGGACATCCCAGGCTCCTGGGCCACCGGGCTGAGGTGACAGTTCTCCTGGAAGTGGCTTCTGTGTCCTGGAATTCTGTCGGGAATCCTCGGTGAACAGCGGCCGGTGCTCCAAAACCTGCTGGGGAGGTTCTTCCCCGTCTTTGGTTGGTGGCTTTGGTGGCCTTGGGGACCAGCACAGGGGTGACTCACCCACACCGTGAGGAGCAGGCGGTCCCTGCCCTTCCCTGGCACCAGAAATTCCCGGGATCTCCTGCTCCACGGAGCTGGTGGGACCTCCTTTGGAAACGGTGGAAGATCACATCAAATCCCACCACGAGGCTCAAACCTAACCCCTGGAGATCCCAAATCCCACCACGAGGCTCCTTCCAACCCAAACCTGAGGAGATCCCAAATCCCACCACAAGGCTCCTTCCAGCCCAAACCCCAGGAGATCCCAAATCCCACCACGAGGCTCCTTCCAGCCCAAACCTGAGGAGATCCCAAATCCCACCACGAGGCTCCTTCCAGCTCAAACCTAACCTCAGGAGATCCCAAATCCCATCACGAGGCTCCTTCCAGCCCAAACCCCAGGAGATCCCAAATCCCACCACAAGGCTTCTTCCACCCCAAACCTGAGGAGATCCCAAATCCCACCACAAGGCTTCTTCCACCCCAAACCTGAGGAGATCCCAAATCCCACCACAAGGCTTCTTCCACCCCAAACCTGAGGAGATCCCAAATCCCACCACAAGGCTTCTTCCACCCCAAACCTGAGGAGATCCCAAATCCGACCACGAGGCTCCTTCCAGCCCAAACCAAGCCCCAGGAGGCCCCAAATTCCGGTTCCAACTGCTCTGGCTTTGGGATAGGAGCTGCCACGGGGTCCATGGGCCACCAGCCCCCCCAGCTCCTCCCCGAGGTTCCGGCTGGAGCTCCAGGAGCAGGACCAGGCAGGAAAACGGGATCTCACAGAGGTTCTGGTGCCTTCTAAACGACGTTTTGGGGCCCAGGCAGGGTGGTGGCACCCCAAAACTTGGTGGCAGTGACGTGGCCTTGGTGGCACTGGGGTGGCTCCAGCATCTCCTGGAAGTTTCTGGTTTCTCCTGGGATTTTTGGGATATTTCCCAACCCTGGGGGCTTCCGAGCTGCCGGCTCCTTTTGGGAATGGGGGAACGTGTCCGCCCGGTGGGATTTGTTATCCCAAATAAACGGAGGAGGTGGACAATCCCCCGGGAACGCCGGGACGCGGACACAGCTCAGGGAGGGGAACAGAAAGGATTTAGGAGCTGGAAAACCCCAAAATTCCGGAGTCACGGCGCTTCCTGTCCCGTGTGGGACGCGAACCGAGGCCTGGAGGAGCTGTGGGATCTCCGAGCTCCTCCCACCCAGCCCGGGCTCCGAGCGGGATTTTGGAGGCTCCTCAGGGGTTTGGGATGGGTGAGGCACTGGTGGGGATGGAAGCTGGGGATGGCTGGGGTCTTGGGACCACCCCGGTTTGGGATCTTCACCCTGGTTTGGGATCTTCATCCCGGTTTGGGATCTTCACCCTATGGGATCTTCACTCTGAGTTGGGATCTTCACCCTGAGTTGGGATTTTCACCTTCCCTCAGGACCTTCCTGGTTTGGGATCTTCACCCTCATTTGGGACCATCCTGATTTGGGATCTTCAGCCCGATTTGGGATCTTCAACCTCATTTGGGATCTTCTACTTCCCTCAGGACCATCCTGATTTAGAATCTTCATCCTGCATTGGGATCTTCATCCTCGTTTGGGATTTTCACCCTGGTTTGGGATCTTCACCCTGGTTTGGGACCATCCTGGTTTGGGATCTTCACCCTGCGTTGGGATCTTCATCCTGGTTTGGGATCTTCACCTTCCCTTGGGACCTTCCTGGTTTGGGATCTTCAGCCCGATTTGGGATCTTCACCCTCGTTTGGGACCATCCTGGTTTGGGATCTTCATCCTCATTTGGGACCATCCTGGTTTGGGACCATCCTGGTTTGGGATCTTTATCCTTGTTTGGGATCTTCACCTTCCCTCAGGACCATCCCGGGGCCCACGCAGGAGTGACAGTGACAGTGACAATGACAGCAGGTGGCACCTTCCCCTCAAGCCACAAATCCCCCAGACCCCAGCAGAGGGAAAATGGCACCCAGATCCCGCAGTATGGGGACAGGGGACAGCGGTGGTGGCACTGATCACCCTGCATTGGGATCTTCATCCTGCATTGGGACCTTCATCCTGCATTGGGACCTTCACCTTCCCTTGGGACCTTCCTGGTTTGGGATCTTCATCCTCATTTGGGACCATCCTCATTTGGGATCTTCAGCCCGACGGTGGCACTGATGATGTCCCCCAGACCCCAGCAGAAGGAAAATGGCTCCCAGATGCCCCAGGCCTGGGGACAGGGGACATTGGTGGCACTCACAATGTCCCCCAGATCCCAGATCCCCCAGGCCTGGGGACAAGGGACAGCGGTGGTGGCACTCCTGATGTCCCCCAGACCCCAGCAGAAGGAAAATGGCTCCCAGATTCCCCAGTATGGGGACAGGAGACCCTGGTGGCACTCACAATGTCCCCCAGACCCCAGCAGAAGGAAAAGGGCACCCAGATGCCCCAGGGCATGCGGACAAGGGACAGCAGTGGTGACACTCCTGATGTCCCCCAGATCCCCAAGGCGTGGGGACAAGGGACAGCGGTGGTGGCACTCCTGATGTCCCCCAGACCCCAGCAGAAGGAAAATGGCTCCCAGATGCCCCAGGGCATAGGGACAGGGGACATTGGTGGCAATCACAATGTCCCCCCGACCCCAGCAGAAGGAAAATGGCACCCAGATCTCCCAGGCCTGGGGACAAGAGACAGCAGTGGTGGCACTCCTGATGTCCCCCAGACCCCCCAGGCGTGGGGACAAGGGACAGCAGTGGTGACACTCCTGATGTCCCCCAGATCCCCCAGGCATGGGGACAAGGGACAGCAATGGTGGCAGTCCTGATGTCCCCCAGCCCCCGGCAGAAGGAAAAGCACTCCCATATCCCCAGGCCTGGGGACAAGGGACAGCGGTGGTGGCACTCACAATGTCCCCCAGCCCCCGTCAGAAGGAAGATGGCACCCAGATCCCCCAGTATGGGGACAGGGGACCCTGGTGGCACTCCCGATGTCCCCCAGCCCCCGGCAGAAGGAAAAGCACTCCCATGTCCCCAGGCCTGGGGACAAGGGACAGCGGTGGTGGCACTCCCCGTGTCCCCCAGACCCCAGCAGAAGGAAAATGGCACCCAGATTCCCCAGTATGGGGACAGGGGACCCTGGTGGCACTCCCAATGTCCCCCAACCCCCCCATATGGGGACAGGGACCCCGGTGGCACTCCCCATGTCCCCCAGCCCCCCCATATGGGGCCAGGGACCCTGGTGGCACTCACGATGTCCCCCAGCCCCCCCATATGGGGACAGGGACCCCGGTGGCACTCCCGATGTCCCCCAGCCCCTGGCAGAAGGAAAAGCGCTCCCATATCCCCCTGGCATGGGGACAGGGACCCCGGTGGCACTCCCCATGTCCCCTAGCCCCCCCATATGGGGACAGGGACCGCGGTGGCACTCCCGATGTCCCCCAGCCCCCAGCAGAAGGAAGATGGCTCCCATGTCCCCAGTATGGGGCCAGGGACCCCGGTGGCACTCCCGATGTCCCCCAGACCCCCCATTTGGGGCCAGGGACCCCGGTGGCACTCCCGATGTCCCTCAGCCCCAGGGACCCCGGTGGCACTCCCGATGTCCCCCAGACCCCCCATATGGGGACAGGGGACAGTGGTGGCACTCCCCATGTCCCCCAGACCCCCCATATGGGGCCAGGGACCCCGGTGGCACTCCCGATGTCCCTCAGCCCCAGGGACCCCGGTGGCACTCCCGATGTCCCCCAGACCCCCCATATGGGGACAGGGGACAGTGGTGGCACTCCCCATGTCCCCCAGACCCCCCATATGGGGCCAGGGACCCCGGTGGCACTCCCGATGTCCCCCAGCCCCAGGGACCCCGGTGGCACTCCCGATGTCCCCCAGACCCCCCATTTGGGGACAGGGACCCCGGTGGCACTCACGAGGACGTCGAAGCTGTCGCGGTAGAGCTGGCGGTCGCAGTGCAGGCAGTCGCCGCGACAGTCGCCGCGGGCGCGGGCGCAGAGCCACAGCAGCAGCAGCAGGTCCCAGAGCACGGCCCGCATGGTGCCACCGCCTGTGGGGACACGCCCGTCACCCCCGGGCACCCAGAACCCCGAGGGAGCCCCAAAAAATCCGATGAAATAAAGAAAAAACCCGCGAAATCCAAAAAAAACCCCCCGCGAAGTCAAAAAAAAAAAAAACCCGCGAAACCAAAAAAAACCACGCGGAATCACGGAAAAACCCCCGGTGGCACTCCCGATGTCCCCCAGACCCCCCATTTGGGGACAGGGACCCCGGTGGCACTCACGAGGACGTCGAAGCTGTCGCGGTAGAGCTGGCGGTCGCAGTGCAGGCAGTCGCCGCGACAGTCGCCGCGGGCGCGGGCGCAGAGCCACAGCAGCAGCAGCAGGTCCCAGAGCACGGCCCGCATGGTGCCACCGCCTGTGGGGACACGCCCGTCACCCCCGGGCACCCAGAACCCCGAGGGAGCCCCAAAAAATCCGATGAAATAAAGAAAAAAACCCACGAAATCAAAAAAAAACCCACGAAATCAAAAAAAAAAACCCTGTGGAATTACGGAAAAACCTGGTGAAATCACAAAAAATCCTGTGAAATCACAAAAAATCCTGGAAATCACAAAAAAACCCTGAGAAATCATAAAAAATACTGTGAAATCACAAAAAAATCCTGTGAAATCACAAAAAGATCCTCTGAGATCAAAAAAAATCTTGTGAAATCACGAAAAAATCCTGAGAAATCACAAAAAGATCCTGAGAAATCACAAAAAAGTCCTGAGAAATCACAAAAAAGTCCTGTGAAATCACAAAAAATCCTGGAAATCACAAAAAAGTCCTGTGAAATCACAAAAAGATCCTGCAAGATCCAAAAAAATCTTGTGAAATCACGAAAAAATCCTGTGAAATCACAAAGAAATCATGTGAAATCAAAAAATCCTGTGAAATCACAAAAAGATCCTGTGAAATCACAAAGAAATCGTGTGAAATCCAAAAAAAATCCTGTGAAATCACAAAAAAATCCTGTGAAATCACGAAAAAACCTGTGAAATCAAAAAATACTGTGAAATCACAAAAACATCCTGCAAGATCCAAAAAAATCCTGTGAAATCACAAAAACATCCTGTGAAATCACAAAAATATTCCGTGAAATCACAAAAAGATCCTGTGAAATCACAAAAAGATCCTGCGAAATCACAAAAAGATCCTGTGAAATCACAAATCCTGTGAAATCACAAATCCTGTGAAATCAAAAAATCCTGTGAAATCACAAAAAAATCCTGCAAGATCCAAAAAAATCCTGCAAAACCCCGTGAAATCCCCAAAAAAATCCCATAAAACCCTGTGAAATCCCCAAAGGAATCCCATAAAACCCTGCGAAATCCCCAAAAAAATCCCACAGAATCCCAAAAAAACCCCATTAAATCCCCCAAAAGATCCCACAGAATCCCAAAAAAACCCTGTGAAATCCCAAAAACTCCTGTGAAATCCTGCGAAATCCCAAAAAATTCCAGAAAATCACACAAAAACCCATCAAAACCCCGCCAAATCGCAAAAAACCCACGGAATCCCAAAAAAACCCCATGAAATCCCAAAAAAATCCCATGAAATCCCAAAAAAATACTGCAAAACCCCGTGAAATCCGAGAAAATCCCACAAAATTAAAAAAAAAAAATCCCCAAAAAATCACACAAAACCCCACAAAACCCCGAAGGCCCCTGTGGGCAGAGGGGTCGATCCCAAAAGGCTCCGGAGGGGTGGCTCTGGGGACGTGCCACCCCGTCCCTGTCCCTGTCCTGGGCGTGTCCAGCAGGGATTGCTGGAATAGCAGCGCCAGTCCCGGAGAATTCCCGGAGAATTCCATGTCACTGTCGGCTTGGCCAACAGGTTTAGGGGACAACTCGGGGACAATTCAGGGATTGGACAGAGGTGACAGAGTGGGATGGAAATGGGGACGTGCCACCGGGTGTAGGGGACAATGAGGGGACCGGACAGGTGACAGAGAGGGACAGGATGGGGATGTGGCACCGGGGGTAGGGGACAATCCAGGGACCAGATAGAGGGGACAAAGAGGGACAGGAGAGGGAGATGTGGCACCCAGTTTAGGGGACAATCCAGGGAGTGCAGAGGTGACAGAGCTGGGGATGTGGCACCGGGGGTAGGGGACAATCCAGGGATTGGACAGAGATGGCAGAAATCAGGATGTGGCACCAGCGGAAGGGGACAATGAGGGGACCCGAGAGGGGACAGGCGACAGGGAGGGGACAGAGACAGGATGTGGCACCTGTGGCACCCAGGGGACAGTTCAGAGAGCTGAGAGAGGGGACAGAGAGGGACAACAGAGGGAGACGTGGCACCGGGATTAGGAGACCATGAGGGGACCAGAGAGAGGGACAGGGTGGGGATGTGGCACCAGGGGAGGGGACAATCAAGGGACCACACAGAGGGGACAGAGACAGGGATGTGGCATCAGGGGAAGGAATTAAATAAAAGGGACAAATTAGCCTAGACAATAGAAGATCTTTTTCACTGTGGAAGGACTTGGGGGAGAGGGAAATAATGAGCTGTGGCTTCATCAAAGCAGGGGCAGTTTGCAAGTTGCTCTCCCCTGTAACTCTATCTCGCTCACCCCCAGGAGGGACTGCAAGGGCCGGCAGCCTGCGCTGGTGTCGGGTCCCTCCTCCCCTGGGAGCACGGGGCGGGATGCTGGAGCCTGGGCAGAGGGAGGGGCTGCCGGGGCCGAGGGTTTGGTCTGGGGGCTGTAGGAAGGAGAGGGTGTTGGTATCTCATTACAGGCCTTAGATCTCTGGAGGGGAAAAGAAAACGGGATTAAAAAAGCCCTCAAACTCTAACCACAGGCCTTTGTTAGAAATGCTGTCCGGGAAGGAAGGAAGAAGACAGGAACAGCTCAAATTCAGTCCTTCGATAATTAAAGCTTGCAAAAGAATAAAAGGGGAGGGCAAAAAAATAAATAAAAAGGTCTTTCCCTCCTCCCACCTGCTCCCAAAACAGGGCTGCTGTGACTTCCCCGGGGAACAAAGAGATGTGGTGAGAATGGGCTTTTTCTTGATCCTGCAGTGTCTGGGAGGGAGCAGCAGGACAAGCGTGTGGCCCTGCAGATGGGAGCCCCTCATCAAAGCTGGGGAAAAATAGGGGGGAAATGTGTTTTTCTGTTTCACTGATCATCAGAGAAGGACTAGGACTTCCTGATCCGAGGAAAATTTGGAAACTGAAGACAAAAACATTTCCATTCCAAAACTGAACAGAAAGAAGTCAAACCTTTGTGGTTTTCTGCTAAGCAAAAGAGGAAGAAAATTCAGCCACTGGGCAACCCACAGACCCCTACTGCCCTGGTTTGGCTGATCAGAGTATCTTAAAAAATGCATGTAAACCCAGGGATGTGGCATCAGGGGAGGGGACAATTAAAGGATCACACAGAGGGGACAGAGATGGGGATGTGGCACTGGCTTTAGGGGACATTTCAGGGACCGGACAGAGGGGACAGAGAGGGACAACAGAGGGAGATGTGGCACCGGGATTAGGTGCCACCATGGGGGGACCAATTTAGGGTCCAGACAGAGGGGACAGAGACGGGGACGTGGCACCGGGTTTAGGGGACAATTCAGGGTCCAGACAGAGGGGACAGAGGGGACAGAGGTGGGGATGTGACACTGGGTTTAGGGGACAATGAGGGGACCAAAGACAGGGACAGGAGGGGGACGTGGCACTGGGTGTTGGGGACAATGAGGGGACCAGACAGAGGGGACAGACAGGGACAGGAGAGGAAGATGTGGAGATGTGGCACCAGCTTTAAGGGACAATGAGATGTCACAGAGGTGACAGAGATGAGGACATGGCACCGGGTTTAGGGGACAATGAGGGGACGAGGCACAAGGGACAGGAAGGGACAAGAGAGGGGGATGTGGCACCGGGTTTAGGGGACAAGGAGGGGACCAGAGTGAGGGACAGGATGGGGATGTGGCATCACGGAGGGGACATTTCAGGGACCAGACAGAGGGGACAGAGACAGGGATGTGGCATCAGGGGAGGGGACAATTAAAGGACCACACAGAGGTGACAAACATGGGGATGTGGCACTGGCTTTAGGGGACATTTCAGGGACCAGACAGAGGGGACAGAGACAGGGATGTGGCATCAGGGGAGGGGACAATTCAGGGTCCAGATGGAGGTGACAGAGGGCACACAGATGGGGATGTGGCACTGGCTTTAGGGGACATTTCAGGGACCAGACAGAGGGGACAGAGACAGGGATGTGGCATCAGGGGAGGGGACAATTCAGGGTCCAGACAGAGGTGGGGACGTGGCACCGGGTTTAGGGGACAATTAAAGGACCACACACAGGTGACAGAGATGGGGATGTGGCACTGGGTGTAGGGACAATGAGGGGACCAAAGACAGGGACAGGATGGGGATGTGGCACCAGGGGAGGGGACAATTCAGTGTCCAGATGGAGGTGACAGAGTGCACACAGATGGGGATGTGGCACCGGGTTTTGGGGACAATTTAGGGTCCAGACAGAGGTGGCAGAGATGGAGGTGTGGCACCTGCTTTAGGGGACAATTCAGGGACCAGACAGAGGTGACAAAAAGGGACAACAGAGGGAGATGTGGCACCGGGATTAGGAAACCATGAGGGGACCAGAGAGAGGGGACAGGAGAGGGATGTGACACCGGGTTTAGGGGACAATTCAGGGACCAGACAGAGGTGACAAAAAGGGACAACAGAGGGAGATGTGGCACCGGGATTAGGAAACCATGAGGGGACCAGAGAGAGGGGACAGGAGAGGGGTGTGACACCGGGGTTAGGGGACAATTAAAGGACCAGACACAGAGGGGACAGAGATGGGGATGTGGCACCGGGTTTAGGGGACAATTCAGGGACCAGACAGAGGTGACAAAAAGGGACAACAGAGGGAGATGTGGCACCGGGATTAGGAAACCATGAGGGGACCAGAGAGAGGGGACAGGAGAGGGGTGTGACACCGGGGTTAGGGGACAATTAAAGGACCAGACACAGAGGGGACAGAG